GCTCCACGTAATGCCGACCCCGCCCCGCCGCGCCCCGCCTCTCCGTGCTCTCGTTGTTTCTCTCCTTTGCCCGCCTGTTTCTCGCAGTTTTTCACCCCTTGCCGCTCTCTGGCCGGCCGCCGCCGCCGGTCGGTCGAGCAGTCGAGTCGGCTCGAGAGTTTTTAGTGCCGGCTCGGCGATTGTTAATAATGAAGAGTTATGGTAAACGTGAGGCGCCCTCGTCACGCCGGGCAGGGCCGGGCCGGGCCCAGGCTGGTCATCAATTACGGACAAAAAGAGTGTTTTCCGAAAAGCGCCGCGCCGCCGCTCCGCGACGCCACACCCTTGCGCCACGCCAGGTGGGGCTTCCCTTGCTCTGCGCAAATGGCCGGGGCGTGACTTTAGGGAAGGCGCTTGCTCGGGTTGACGTGTCATTGCAGCGCGTGCCGGTCCGTGCCGGTGCGGGCGGCCGCCGTGCTGCTGCTGCTGCTGCTTGCTGCTGCTGCTGCTGCTGCTGCTACTGCTCGCGGCGCGCGACCCGGGTGCGCTGCTGCGGTATTCTCCTAAACTGGGTGGGAAATTCTTGCGATACCAAGTCCACGACGACGTGATGTCGCTTTGTTTAAAAATGTGACCTAGTTCTCTCGAGTTGTGTTTGGTACTGTTGCTTGAGTTGTCTATAAATGCACAATTTTACCCGTGTAAAATAATTTCCTTAATCAGTCAAAGTTTCCAAAAAACAAAACAAGTACCTGTGCGTTGGAATAAGGCCCTTTTCTAACGGCACGGCAAGCCTTATACGCGTCGAATCAAATTACGAGAAGGAGAGCGCGACATTTCCTGGTACAGAAACCGTTCGATGCTCGACTTTTTTTTTTGTAGCATTCGGCGTGTATCGGCGGGCTCCTTGCACGCTCTCGTTGCGCAAGCGCAGCGCCCCGGTCCGCGTGCTCACGCCGTGCGCCTCGCAGTCTTCTACTGACCTATTTGGCCCGCTCCGTTTCGAAATGGCCATTAGATGGTATGTCCGAGCCTGCGGAGCCGCCAAGTGGTCGTTGTTCGAACATCGCATCGCCAGCCGGTCGCCCTTTTGTTTCGATATTTTCCCGATCCCTGCTGGGCCGTGCCGTGCGATGGCGGCTGGGGAGCGGCCGAGGGGGCGGCCGCGCGTGGTTATGTCACGTGACGCTCCGCGCCGTGAGAACGCGCGAGACACGTCGAGAGAGAGAGAGAGAGAGAGAAGCGATGGGGGGGGGTCGGAAATGGTCGTGTGGCGGCGGGGAAGGACCAGAACTAGGGAAGGGGAGGGGGGCTGCTTAGTTCATCGTTCCCCGTGCAGAGTCGCGGTCGACTTATTCCACATCGTTATGATAAGAGTCGATGCCCATGTTTGTTATTACGTTCGCAGTTGTAAATGTTTTGCTGATGGCGAAATTGCTACATGTTATAATTAATGAGGTTGGTACACATTTCTTTTTATTTTACTTTTTTTATTG